TGCAAGATGTAACTTGTGATATAATAGAGGCTTAGAGTGTAAGATATTTCAGCTAACGAGTAACTACTAGTTGCTAACTTGCTATGCACGCGAATTATGAGAATACAAATGCAGTATATTAATATTAATATTAGGGTTTGACAAATGCCTGTTCGCAATGAACAGCCTCCAAGATCATTTTCTCATCAAAAATTACAATAGAAATCAATGGAAATAAGTACCTATAGACAACTATTTCCAAGTAAATGATCTTATTAATAAATGAGTTAGGCGACATTTTAATAGTAGGATATGTGAGATGATAATGTCTGATATAGGGAAGCTAAAAAAATCAGATTTAATAGTAGGAAATATGGATTTTTTTTCCAAGAAAAGTAAACAAGATACCGCCGCCATATGATGCATTCGTGCAACCAATGACAATATGTTTTAGCACATAGTAACAGATAAAAGACTAATCAACCTGATAACTATGTTGAGTATACTTGGAATTAGATTGCCAATCATGGAAGAGTTTTTAGAGATGCTGTAACCAGAAATTATGATTTAATAAACGACTTAAACACCTAAGAAAGGCCATTAACAGGGTTCAATGATCAGGCCTGGTACCCAAAGATGTACCAACTTGGAAGGATGTATCTTGATTCCTGACATCAAAAGGTTCCCAAATCTCTTTCATTGCATATATAAGAAATGACATCACATGTTAGACTTTTGGATATGATTTCTAAACAGTGAGAGGAAGCCTCCTCATTCTTTATTTCAGGACTAACTGATAGTCAAGTGAACCATTTGCAACTAATATGTGATGACTTTGTGCCATATTTGAACTATGTCCCTAAAATTTCTTGTCGAAAGCTAATGAGAGTAAACTGCTGACCTCAGAAAAGATGTTGGGACTATGAATGACTTATATGTAGGGGTGCAAACGGATCACATATGGCTTGGATATGACACTTACCATATTCATATTCCGCTTTCTAAAAACGGATACAAATATAGATATGGTATTCCATTGGTAAGAAAAAGGTTATAGCCATATCCACAAAGAATGAAAAAGAATACGGTTCGGATATTAGAGAGATAGTATGGTACAATTGCAGATATGAATCAGATACTTGGCGAATGGATGTGCATCGGATACAAGAGAAGATTCTTATATTAATTGCTCTATTGCACCAAAGGGATAAAACATACCTAAAAATTGCAATACATTGCCAACAATCAAATTTTAAAAGTAATATGCAAAATCTAAGACAATCAAGATAATTCAATTCTCAAAATCGTCATAATTCAAATGAAAGGTTTTTTTAACCACCATTAGCAAAATAATTAAATTATGTATAACAAAAATTTGACCATAATTAAGTCAAAAATGCACACTTGATTATCATAATAAAAGCTGAACCCACATAATCCAAAAACAAATGATCGCATCCCAAAACACAATTATTATCAAGAAAACATAAGGATAACAACATCCATATCCGTATCAGAATTCATATCGAATTCATATCCAAAACAATATCCGAGCCCATATCTAAAATCATATCTGAACTCGTATCGAATCTATAATCAAATCCATATTTGAATTCGCATATCCGCATCAGTTATATGAAATTTGATTTGATTTCCATACCTGCATTCAACAAAAAATCTGAAACCATATCCCTATTCATATCTGTATCCAACCGGTTTCAAATTGTGGTTAATGTATCCGCATCTGTTTCGGATAAGATTGTCCATCGGATATATCTGAACTGTTTTGAATCCTATTCGTATGTCCCTTTCAAGGCTAACGAGCAGGATTAGCTATTGGCACAGATCTAAAGAACTTGAGTAAACAATGTATGCTGAAACAGATTATGGCATAGGCAGGTTGCTCCCTTTTAGGGAGCTGGAAGAAATCAACAATAAAAATTTTCATATATGGAATAACCACCCTATAAGCTAAAGTCAGATAGTTAATACATGCAGCATAAGCGTGCTAAGGCTAAAATAAAGTTAGAAATTTAGAATATCAATGCAGGTTTTTAACATAATTTGAAAGCTAACTTATGGGTTGTTATTGGTTCAGGATTATTGAGTAGGACTAGGAAATTTTTCCAAGAATCATATTTTCTAGGATTGGGTGTAGGACCAAAATTTCAGAGTTGGATTCTTAAGCTAAACATTATATTATGAATTTGATCAAGATTTTGGGCCACTAAATTGCTACTGGAAATATTGGGCCCCATTTCATATCCACTCCTCACCTTCTAGATCATCTTTTCACCTTAACAGATGAATTTAACTATTTTTACACAAGAAGCAACAAAGAGCAAAATTATCTCTATAAATATGACTGATCATACAATAGTGGATACATCTTTAATACATAAGTTAGCATTACCGGTAGATAACATTGATTATGTTAGATATTATTGATAATTTGATATTAGTGTATTTAGTAGATATTATGAGATATTGTTAAGACATTTTGAGATGTAATTATATAAGATTTATCTCATACCCATTTTGTAATATCCTCCTAATATTTATTTAAGAGAGATTAATGTTAGATGAATAATATTTTTCTCTTCTCTAATTCTCTACAGATTAGTAGATAAAATACACATATATATTCTCCAATGACTTCCAAATTCCAATCTTCCTTCTCCTAGAACCCATATTTCATCTCCTTCCAAGAACACATCCCTCTCCTTCCAAAATACATACATGTAGATAAAAAACATCCCTCTACTTCTATATTCCAACTCCACATACTATATTTCTTGCACCCACCACTAGAGAAGAAGCCATTCCCTAACAAAATCCAACCTCCCGTCACACTCAAACAGAGAAGCCCCTTCACTATCCAATCCCACTCCCCATAACTAAACTGACGAAGTTCAGGCAGTACTCAGTCTTCTAAATGCTTTTTCTTGCCCATCATATAAAAAATTAACATCCACCCATATTCATCCTTCGCCTTCATCCCTATTGGGTAGCCCCATAAACCTTAATTTAGCAACATTGAAAAAAAATTTCCTCCCAAAATATATCAACTAGGGTTTCGAAAAGTAATAGAGAATATTGTCTTATTTAGAGGCAAGAGTGACTACGAGCACCACTTCAAGGTGGCGTTTTAAGTGTAGAGAAAGGACCAGAAAATCATCGAGTACCAACTCCTTTTGATGTGGATATCTCGACTACCACCTAGGACACTGCTGATTGACCTCCCATCACCACTGAGATCATGATCATCATGCTGAGACTATGATCATCAAGATTGTGGCTCAGAGACATAGACTCAGCAGTTTTATTTTTCTTTTTTCCTTTTATCAACGAAGAGGGAACGAGAAGCACTGAGAAAGAGCAGAATCCTAGAGCCTGAGAGTCCATCAAAATTTTCTCAAATTAATTTTGGAAGTAGATCTCGTTAAAATGCATATAGTTGGGCCAAAACTCGGATTTCATAGTCCTAATCCTAATTAGAGTTGAAGACAACCAATCACACTTAAATTAGAATGCAAAAACTAATTCCAAATTAATAACACTTTAAATTCAAATTCAAATCCTAAAAAAACCAACAACACCATAAAGAAAAATTCTAAAAAAGCCCCTAGTCGGAACGAAATCAAGAATTTTGAAGTGTTGGACCATATCCTTTGTTTTGCTTCATTTACTAGACATGAAGCATAAATATTACGAAGAATGGGAACATACAAAAGACCCAAGTGTGACACGACACAGTATGCCACTAATGTGATAAGAAGACATTCCTTAAGAGTATTATATATGATGACATGGCTAACTCAGAAATTGTCGAAGTTGGCTTGTATACTTTGCTTTGCTACATTCTCTGAAAGCTAATTCAGAAAATTTCAGAAGACATTTCCTTAGGACTAAGTCAGATTCAAAGCTGTATCCTCTGCTTTGCTTCATTTATTAGCTAGGAGGCATGTAGATTAGGAATCAAGGGAAAACAGAAAAGACCCAGATATGACACAACAGAACATGTCACATGACACTATGACAGGAAGACGTTGCTTAAGAGTAGGACACCATGACACAGCAAAACGAAATTCAGGTATAACTTAAAAACCATAATGTAAAAGAGTGACTTTAACACAGTTCAAACCTGTGACATGTCGGACACATCCCTCAACAAAAAAATTGACACATATAAACAAATGGACGCGACACATATCCATCAATGTCTAAACTTTCCCTCTTCTGTCAAAATCTAACTATATACTAGATCATTTTGTTATAGATTGTTTCATATGTGAACAGTAACAAATTCAAATATTTATATAGGTCAGTTACATATGTTCAGATGAAAAAATATATACATTGCATCCTAGTGCTTGGCCTCAAAACACTGAAGCATGTCACTAGTGTATTATCTACTACCATAGGTATAAGCTACAGAGGCCTACTTCCCAATAGATTTTAGCATAGTAGTCTTAATTTTTATGTCATCAGCATGATGCTGATATTGTCACTTATAGGATGACATCCGGTCTTAATGGATTGCTATATAAATTGCTTGTGGTACCTCTGTCCTTAAGTCCAGTCTTAATGAATTGTTGAATAAATTGCTTGTAAGACAACCATACTCTTTCATTATTACACCAAATTGGTTCTCTCTTTTCTCTAAGATTAGTGAGACTGAGACATGCAATGATTTTGACAAAGAGCTGCAAGATATGTTATTATGACTTATGAGATTATTATGGTAACTAGATAAACAATATATTCGCTGTATAGTACTACTATTCTTTCCCCATGCATTTAAGGGCGGTGATCTGCAATTTTCTATCCACGTCAACCCTGGGCTACAAACAAATCCCTCCTTACAGGCATTGATAAGCTTCCTATTAAACAACAAAAATATAGTAGTGTTCTCCTTCCTCTGCGACCACTTCTTTCCCCCTAAAAACCATGCAATTGGGTATCAACTATCAACTATCCGAACATGCCCTTACCCAATGCTACAAGGCGCGATTCTGATATAATAAAACCATGCACAGAGATTAAACATTACACTAAAAAAGAATTACTAGATAGTGACTAGGAAACAAAATACAGCAAAGACCTAAACTCTTCACATCAAACATAAAAGGGCACCTTAAATAATAATGATGCTCACTGGAAAAACACTGTCGGTTTCTTGAGAATGTTTCACTGGCATCGCCAAGTACGCTCCATCAAATGCTTGAAAGCCAAATTGTAGTTCGAGGCGATACAACAAAAGCACAATGCAGGTTTATCCGATGTAACAAATTATTCAGTGACGAGACAATGTGACCATTAAAGTAACAGATTTTGTACCACGATGATCATCATCGACGTCTACTTCTTGTATCGGGCGACCTCGCCCTCATTGGGAAAGAACCCCATGAGCCTGCCAGCAGAGTTCTGATACGCATACATAAACCCACCCATGACCCCAATCAGTCCCCCGGTCACCATCGACGGCCCTCTAATATTAGGCTTGATCCCTACAACAAACAAAAGTCTTCCATCAATCAATTAAACAACACAGAAGGCAAATTAGAGACAAAATCTGAAGATGGGTCGAAGGGATAGTGACCGGAGAGGTAGCCGACGGTGACGGAGACGGCGGTGATGGTGGAGAGGCGGAGGTAATCGAGGGTGTTGAAGTTGGCTACGGTTTTTGCGAAGGGAGGGTTTCGATCGATCACTGGGTACTCGGGCTTCACTGATGCCGTGATGTCGGTGTTCATCCTTGAGATTATTGGGTCGGGATTTCTGATCCTTCGATGATTATGGCGAGACTGCAAACCCTAGATACTCTTAGCTCTCTGTTGGTCTGTTTTTGGTGCTTGACAGCCGTTGAAAGGGGCTGGGAAGTAAATTTCAGATTGGGGTTAATTGTATATTTAACCCCACCATGGATGCTCGCACATTGGCACGTGCATCGCGTGTGCGAAATTATTTAATTATATGATTAATCTTACGTCTTCGTATAATAGTTTAATAATGATTTAATGTATGCAATTTTATTATGGAGCTCAATATAAAAAACATATCTTAAATTGCTAGTTAGCAATTAACTCCATCCTTCAACACAATTTTAATGAGCAGTTTGCAAATTGAGGATAATATAATTAGAGTAAATGATCAAAATAAAAAATAAAAATGGGGATATATGTTACAATTTAATAATGTGTGATATATGTTACAATTTAATAATGAGTGTATTGCCATTTGATGATTTAGAATGTTCTAGAATTAGAAAGGACAAAAGGCAAGATAGAAAATAAATGTTTCTCTTAGAAAATAACAATTTTACTTATGTGAGTTCCTATTCTTGTGTCATAATTTAAAATCTTCTAGAAAAAAGAAATGAAAGAAAGAAAAGAAGAAAAATATCTCCATTGTAAACTTACTGTTTTACCCTCTAACTTTCAATGTAAACAAGGAAAATATCCACTACTCATCCAACTTTCACTTTCCTTGCTATGTTCATTATATAGTAGTATAAATTTACAGAAATATCATCTAAATCTTAGTATTTGCAACTACACAGGTCATCTACATTGGAAAAAATACCCCTAAAAACGATGGCATTGATTGTCAAATGGAATAATGGTAGTATTAACTTTTTGCCTTTTCCTAAAAGGACCCGCCACTAAAATGCTCCATCATGAGGATCCCTCATCCCTAATTGTTTGCTTAACATCTCTCACTTTGTTTTGAGAACCGGTACCCTTTGCTCGGCCCTAGACATCCTTCAATTGCTGCTATTGATCTCCATTTGAATTTGGGATGTGGTGTTTTTTTTATTAAGACAAATCGTCAAGCACCTTACATGCATATATTATCTCCTTTGGTCGACCTGCAACATTTTGCATACCTTCACTTCGAACAACTCTCACAAACACAAAATAACGCTCACGAAACTCATAATTATAAAAAATTTTGAGAACTTAACACCAGAAGTTTAGCTAACATAATCTTATTGATGGTCATAAAGAAACTACACTAACTCCATTCAAATAATAGATCATAACAAGGGAAGAAAACATTAGAAAAAAGTATCAAGTTCTAAACAACACAAACAAATTCATCAAACACATTACATATTAAAAAGTCTCAAAATTTTTGATCAATGACATAAATAACCATGAGAACAAATTCATCAAACACATTACATATTAAAAAGTCTCAAAAAGGTTCAGGGTATAACTTTTCTTTCTCTTTCTTATGAAGTGGGGTACCACGCAATTGAGGAGAAGACTACATTTAGTGTGTGTAAGAAAATTGAAGAGTTGGACATGGCTAAGAATGCATCCACCAACTTGTACTAGAAGTAGCAGTTACATGGACTACGGATGAAGGAAGGTATGGTAATATTGGAGCATCTGAGCAATCTCAAAAGGATAATGACCAAGTTAGCTGCGACAGGGTTAAAGATTAAAGATGATGACAAAGAGTAACCTTACTAGTTCTCTTCTATCAAGATAGCAATATCTAAAGATATCGCTAACTATAGGCAAGACCATGGACGAGGTCAAAGAAGCACCCCTCAGGGATGACTTTTAGCAGTGATAAGATGTTGATGATGAGTTGAATTATGGTGTTAGGTTGGTAGCATATGTGTAAGAAAATAGATCTTCAAACTGAATAAGTTTACAAGCTATGCAGCTCTTTATTTGCTATAGGAAGGGTCACATAAAGAAAGACTACTTCGAACAGTAAGAGTGGTTGAAGGGCAACCTATGGGAATTAGGTGGGCTAATCTTCATATGTAGTGGGTATTTCATAAAATCAATTGATGACCCATTGGCAATTTTAGAGGATGAAAGTCGACAGATTATGGTGTTGATGGCTTTTAGGAGAAACAGTTATTGTGGCGATTAGATATTGGACTAAAACATGAGCTCATATATATTCCCAAACAAGCATATTTGACGCCTTGGTGTAAGGAGTCAAGGGGACTGTCTACACTATGGATAGCACGAGGTACGATATCACAGGCATAGAAGCGGTCGTAGTGGTAAGGAGAATGGAGACCATGATCACCTTGGAGAATATTCAGTTAATCCCGAAGGTGAGGAAGAATATGATATCTATTGGAGTGTTTGACTCTATAGGCTATTGAACCCAAGTGCACAGAGGACTTGTCAACAGTATATCATGATAGTAACATCATCCTAGTTGGGAAGAAATGTGGAGATGGCTTGTATTAGGTGTATTAAGGTACTGGTTTTTAGGTTGGAGTTTTGCCTTTAAGATGGTGTACGACCACGAGGAAGAGAGGTGTGCTCGGAACTTTGGTTTCGAGGAAGTGCTGAAATGGGAGTTTGACTCTATGGGAGTCAAGAAGTCTATAATAAGTCTGTTTGGTGAAAAATCTGTGAAATAAAAATGAAAGAATTGTGTTTGATTTTATTCTCTCTAACTGCTTAGAAAAAGAATATTTACAACTATCTCAATCTTGATTACAATTTGGATTTCCTGATTACAAAAGAGAAAAAAATTGATCTGAATTCTCCCCTTTGTTTAAGTATGGGTTCTTCATGGTGGCGATGGAGTGCCTCCCTCGAATACTCGCATCGAGTTTGCCCTCCGTTGACTATCCGAACGTCTTGTGTCACTAGAACATGATCTTCTCCTCACGATTTGACATTGTGGAAAACTTACGTGGTAAGTTTTAAAGAACTCTTGATGAGTTGATAACTCTGAATGAGTTTAAAACTCTATAAAAGAGTTGATTTAACCGAAATCGGTTTGTAAACCAAGTATGAAGAAAGCTTCTGTTGTTGATCTCCAAAGCTCTAGCAATTCCCCCTAAAAGCCAACCAAAGATCTCTTCTTCGCTGCCAAGTTGAAGGACCGAAGGCTGAAAGATCCGAACTCAGTTGAGTTTACTCCTATTTATAGGAGATTAAGGGTGTAACCGTCCCCTTAATTCTCTCCATAATGGGGTTGAATAGGGTGTAACCGCCCCCTTAATCTGCTCCTAAGTGGGGCAGAAATTCCTCCAAATGTGGGGGGAAAACGGTTTCTGAAATCGTTCAGCTCGTGTTTGTTGGCCTTCTTATTTTGATGATGATTTACAAACAATTTACATCTAATATTGTTTGTCTAGTGTTTGTGTTTTATATTGATTCTAGGCAAACAATATGTTGGAGGATGGATGGAATAGAGCTTCAACGATGATATCCAATGGAGGATGGCGGATTTGTGGAGTGAAGCTACATACAATTCAAGTTAAAGATCAAGTTCAAGCTTCATCCGCAACATGTACCAAGTTGACCTACAATGAAGATCAAGATCAAGCTTGGGTAATTTAGTTTTGGAATTTATATTATGTGTGTTAGTACTTTAAGCTCAATCATATACACACATACACGCTTTGGTTTTGGTTTTGTATATATACAGTTATATATATACATATATGTTTTTGGTTTAATAATTTTCAAGTTTATATATGAAACAAATGGATAGAATTGGAAAATACTATTTTGTTTCATGTTTATATGCCTATATATGATTTCACCTTTAACAAGCTTATATTTAATGAAATCATATTTAGTGTTTTTGTATATATTGCATAGAATATGCAATTTTATGAAAATATTGTATTTCTAGGTTATAGACTTCATAACAACATGTTATATCTTTTATCAAGTCTATACAATCATTTCATAAGTTTCAAAAGTTGGTTTATGTCAAAACATCAAAATTCAAGTATCTCATATTTTCATGTTTTGGACTAGTTTGTAAAATGATGATATTTTTCATTTGATAAGTCCTTTTTCGAAACCAGTCGTTGTAGCATGTCTATTATCATATCTACAATCACTCCCCAAAGTTTTACATTTTTCTGAATTTATTTGATATTTTTAAACAGTGTTTTAAAATCAGCTCTAAAACCGATTTTTTCTGGAATGTCAGTTTTCGGTCGACCGGTACGGTCGACCGGTCAATTGACCATTCGTCAGTATTTTTCCAGAGAGTCATCGGTCGACCGGTCCGGTCGACCGAGAGCTCAAATCGGTCGACCGACAGAATTTCCGGTCGACCGACGTTAGTCCAGAAAGTTTTCTTCGTGTTTTTGCTCTCATCGGTCGACCGACGGGATTTTCGGTCGACCGACAATATGACCGTTGGACTTCTAACGGCTATTTCTGAGCTGTTTCTCTGGGGGGCTGTTTTGTCATTTGTTTTGGGGGTTTTTGCTGAGATTTTTTGTGGGTATATATACCCCATTGCTGATGTCTTTTCAACTAACCAAGAGAGTTTTTAATCAAGTTTAATAAAGTTTTTAACAAGGGTTTTAGTTTGGTTTAAGTGTGTTTAAAAAGCTTTTAAGCAAATTGAGAGTTTGTTTTGGTGAATCAAATTCCACAAGAGCTTGAGGAGATTATCTATTGAAGTTTGAGCTTCCAACTATCATCCCTCCATCTCTTGTTATCAAATTGAGAAGTTTTCTAAACTCAAACTCTAGCTTTACATTTATATACTTGATTGATTATCATTGTTCTTAAGCTAGATTTCATACTTGAGTTTAGTTGATTTGATCTTATTTACTCATTGTTACACACACACCCACATTGAGCTTATTGTATCTTTCATACATAGTATAGTTGGGTGGTGAGAGATTGTAACTTTGAGTTGTGCTTTCATTGTGTTCTCATCTATTGTAGAGAACAAATTTATATTTGTTACATTGTGAGTGTTGTAAGGTTTTCGGTGAGCTAGAAACCGAGTGTGTAGTGAGGTTTTCGGTGAGCTAGAAACCGAGTGTGAGGAGTGACGTTGATCGGTGAGCGTTGAAAACCGATACTGTGAGGTGTAAACGTTATTCGGGTGAACGTAGAAAACCCGG